ATATATATATATATATATATATATACACACACACACACATATATATATATATATATATATGAGATATTATTTCCTGATTTCCCAATAGAAGTATATTTGGTATATAGTAGGAATGTCAAACTCATGTCATCATGGCAGTGTCACGTGATGTATCGGGAGTTTCCCCCCTTGCCTAAACCAGATGTGGGCGTGGCCAGCGCATAACACATCCGGCCTCTGGGCCAGGAGTTTGACAGGCCTGGTGCATATTAACAAAAATATGATTTCTTCAGGCAATAATTTTGAATTTCATTAAATACTGCTTTAAAACATTTTAAATGTTTCCAGAAAGTGAAACTAAAATGTGCCAATGGCTAAGGAACTCTTTTTTTCCTACTTAGATTAAGCAGACAGGTCAAACATGACCCTGAAAAGAGAAGAAACATTGCAAATTGTATTCTAGATTCTGCCTATCACCACCACATCAAACAGATACTGAAATTCTTTCACTACTTAAGCTATTTTTTTATTTTGTACACTTCTAAATTTAGGCCGATTTCTTTCATTATTATCCATTTTATATGCCATTTAAAAAGTAAAACTACTAGAAAATATTTCAGAATTCTTTTTAATTTTTCTAATAGGGAAGGGGAAAAGAAGAAAGACATAATTTTTATCTGAGCTTTCTCTAATCGCAAGGTTATAAGAGGAATAGCTGAACTCAATCAGAAATAATCAAGCAATTGGAATATCATCCTGCATGCAAAATCTCAAATGAGTAGGAGTTTTTAATTTAAAAAAAAATGAGAATACTGAAATGAAAATATCAGATTTAACTCTCAATCAGCAATATTCAACGCATACTAATTTGATACAGCGGCTACTGTAACCCCCTGTACCGTGGCCTTGATACTGTAGGCAGGACATGTTCTTTAAAATCCAGTGCAGCACTTTTATATTACTATATTACACCTATCAAAATGACTTGTGCACTGAATTCTGCTCTTTTCGGTACCAACTCTAAAACGTTATGTTTGCAGGAAAAATAAACAAAGTTGTAAATTTATGCTGAGTTACCATTCCGTGACTTCAGATCTCTATGGATTACTTTGACTGGAGCCTCCATATGCAAATAATGCATTCCTAAAAGTAGGAAAACGAAAAAATAAAGAGTTTATAAAATTATTTTGCTACATTGGGACCAGCAAACATTAGTTGACATCTGTGGGTATAAGCATATCCTGTGCTTTTTATTGAGTATTGAAAAGTACTCAGCACTTTTTGTCAATGGCCAGGCTGCTGAAGTGCTCAAGTGTGGTTCTCACTGCATATATCACCAGGTTGACTTCCCACTGTGTGCTGCAGTTTCTGTATCTGAATCAGGAGTGGGATTCTACCAGTTCGCACCTATTCGCTAGAACTGGTTGTTAACATTCTAAGCAGTACGGAGAACCGGTTGTTAGAAAAAATTACTGGCCTACTCCTGTAAGGAAGGCAGGAAGGAAACGTTCTGGTGTTGCTTACAGAAACTGCCTCTCCGTTAACCCTTATTACATTCTTGGCAGGACTAGACTTCCTGTCTCTGGAACTTCTCTGGAGTTTTTTCCCCCTCCTTTGCTGGTACTTTGCTTGTATGGAGTGACCATTCAAAGTTACAATGGCACTGAAAAAAGTAACTTATGACCATTTTTCACACGATTGTTGCAGCATCCCCACAGTCATGAGAGGCCAGGCGAGGAGATGCGTGCCTCAATGTGAGTGATATTGAGTTGGCCACACTCAGCCAATATCATGACCACCAAGCCACGCCCACCACCTAAGCCAGGCCCACAGAATCGGTTGTTAAAAATTTTGAATCCCACCCCTGATCTGAATGTACATTATTAGAAATGTTAAACTTCCTAGGCATATCATTGTGTGTGTGTTTATGTGTGAGTAAGAGAGACAGAAAGAGAAAGAGAGAGACAGAGACACAGACAGAGAGAGACAGAGAGAATGGAGTTTTCAATGAGCTGGTAGCCAGCATACATCCTCATACGATTACTATTGTACCTAAACTATGAGATGGATGGCAAATAAATTTGATGAACACATAGATAAATACATACATATTCCTCTATGCTGAGAACAATCTGCCTTTGAGAAATATTCACCTGACCTCTAGAATGAGCACCCCAAGAGATATGATTGTCTCCCTCTCTGATGGCATTCTGGAGGACCTTAAGGACCTGGCCAGTCTCCCAGGTTTTAACTAGGGCAATTGGACCCACTTGTAAGGTGTATGCATGTTCCTGTTGGCTACAATTACCATCTTGTTCATCTTTTAAAATTGGGATTATATATTGTTATTTGGCTGTATGCTGTTTACCACCCATAGCTGAACTGAGTTGGGCAGTGTCCAAGTCAAGTAAATCACCATCCTCATTACCATCATCATCTACACACCACAAAGTATAACTAACTTATAATGCAAACTCAATACAAACTATAAAAATGTGAACACTGGAAAAGTATTTCTTTTTTCTGTCTGCATGAAAAAAAACAAACCCACATGGGTTTTAAACACATAGGCAAAACTTGACATAGGAAAAATTGATTTTTTTTAAATTGGGAGAAAGATTGCTAAAGTTATGTATCTGGAATTAAGATCTAATAACTAATCTGACTCTAAGTATAAATACTTTAACTGAATTGTTATTTGTATTTCATACGTTTTGACTAGAAGTATGATCAAGCTTCTTGATATACAAGATATATACCTTGTTCATCAGTATAAGTATTTCTTGTGTCTGTAGTGGGATTAAAACATTCACTTGCCTTCTACATATGAGGCATTTTTTAAGATACATATACATAACTGAAATACTCCAGTAACACCGAAAACTTCTAAAAATTGAATCCTTTGGACTCATAAGTCCAAGTGTTGTTTTAAGTTTCCACAAACTCATAAAAAGCATTTACTTGAAATGCATTCTCACCAGTATGGATGCAAATTATTTTTATTAGAATTCCCAATCTCAATATTTCCTTTTTTGCACGCACAACATTTCTACCCTAGACTTTCTTAAGCAAGTCTGTGTGCATACTCATACACACCTAGAAAGCATTACAGTGAGGAAGCCTGTTGTTAAGAGATCATTGAACCCAAGAATGCCACGACTAGAGAAAATCATACAGGGACATACATACAGATATGGATTTAAAAAGCAGCTTCAGGGAAATAGTAGCTAGAGAAACGTGTCTGCAGGGGGGGAATTTTCTTTGCATGACATCATCCACATCTAAATACTAAGCAACTTCTTTGAAATCAGTATCAAAATGTCAGGAAATCCTTTTCCACTTGGATATGAATTGTATGGTCAATTCTTACACCAAAACAAAGTAGAAAATCTGCATACATTTCATGTACTTTCTATCTGCATAATTTTGACACTGACTTTTAAAACAACAGAGATATGAAAACTCATGTTTATTTATTTATTCTCTAAATAAGGCAATCACTATTAAACAGAATAATCTTATATATACAATTATAGGTATGTTATTAGTTCGTGAAATAGACACACACTGGAATGTTTGATCTGTTCTAAACAGAAATAACAATGTTTCTCCTACTTTAGTTGCCCCCTGCTCCTACTGCCTCTTATTCTCACAAAATAAACTAATACAGATGCCAAGTATTCCCAAATTCTCTCTAAACTTACATTCTTGAAGAAAGCTTATGGTATCTAGGAGATTCTCAGTCATCCAGGTCATGGTTGTCCTAAAGGTGGTTTCTTTCAAAAAGCAACTGGACTTTCTTGTCTTGCTTGAAAACATTTCACTTCTCACCCAAGAAGCTTCTTCATGTTCACTGAACTGAAATGAAACATCTTCAAGCAAGACAAGAAATTCCAGTTGCCTTTTGAAAGAAAGCACCTTTGGAAAGCTATTTAGTAAGTCAAATATATTTTGAAAGATTTCATAGGATGGATAATTAAGTAACTATCTTTAGGCACTATGAGTAATTCAGATTAATGATTAAGAATAGATATTAACTCAATAGGAAATGGAACTAGCGCGGAGCTCTAATCTTTTATGAATTATTGCCCTTGCTCTGTCAGTGAATTTCACTTACCTTTAGCTATGTCCATTGCCCAGGTCATTATATGATCCATATCCATTTCTTCACTTCTGTTGCTATTAATATAGTCATACAACGACCCAGCAGAAGCATATTCTGTTACAAAAGAGCAAAAATACACTTAAATTGGCACATAAATGGATGCACAATGATTAGCCATCTTTGATTTTAAAAATTAGCAAATTTGATATTACCTACAATATCAAGTTGCAATAACAATTAGTCTGAACAATGTATCATCCAAATACATTAACTTTAAGAAAGTACAATATAATTGATGAATGAAAGTTTGTGAGGATTGTTTTGGGTTTTTGAGTAAATATTAACTTTTTGTGTGTCACTTTCATCTGTCATCTTGTAGAAAGGATTTGTCACTGACAACTTCTGGATTGTTGTTGTTTTCTTTCCAGGCTAACCTAAGAGAAAATGACAGGCTCAAAGTCATCCGGCTGGCTTCAGTGTCTAAAGGAAGTCTAGAAACCTGGATCTATCCACTTCTAGCCCAGCATCTTAACTATTACACCATTCTGGTTCTCGAATATTAGGCAAATTATTTTAATACAGAGATAATAAATATGAGAATAAAACATACAAAAATAAGATTTTTTTATTCTGATGGGATTGATATAAAGAATTTTAAGATAATATATTTAAATAAACACATAAATGAAATAACATTTAAATATATATTAAATAAACACATTGATACAAATACCTCATTAAACAGCAAATGAACTAGCCAGCAAAAATTAAGAGGCTGTATAATCTCTTCCTAACATTATGAAATGGATATAAAGATGACTACACATATTTCTCATGGGTTACAAAATGCAAATAATCAGTCTTAACATTCTGGGTCAGATTGTGTGTACCATGAAAATAATTCCAATCCCATTAAATGTAAAGAAATTCATAAATAAATTTGATGAAACTAATCTAAATCATAATTATGCAGCCTATGCATGTTATTAAAAGACAGGTGGCATCAGGGATGGGATCCAAACGGTATAACTCCCAGTTCTGCTGTTCTGTGTTGCACACGCACGAGACGCACGAGTCGCACGAGTGCAATTTACGACCTGCTGAGCTGCCCGGACAGCTAAGCAGCACTGCGTGCAAGTGCACAGCAGTTGGAAAAGCCCTTGTTTCCTGCTTTTTCAACCGCAGCTGTGTTGCGCAAAGCAGCTGCGGTTGAAAACGCAGGAAATAAAGGTCAGGTAAGAGCCCTGGCAGGCAGGCGGGCCAAAACAGCAGCAAACACAGATCCGGTTCTATGGATGCTCTCTATTTGCTGTTCTTCAGAGCAACCGGTTCTACAGAAGTGGACAGAACCAGTAGAATCCCACCCCTGGGTGGCATGTATCATACACAGAGACACTATTCTTGATAACTTTGGGAAAAACAATCAGAGATTACCTCATCCTCATCATCCTCATTTGCACGCATGTACAGTTTGGACTAGTGGGTAAGGCACCAGGATAGAAAAGGGGAGACTGAGTTCAAGCCCTGCCTTTGGCATGAAAGCCAGCTGAGTGAACAAAATGATATTAGCAAAAATATCTTATATTAACCTATACATTATTTATTATTCTATAATCTACTATTTATTGATTGCTTATTATATCCTATGACTATCATTAAGTGTCGTACCTTATGATTCTCGACTCTTGACGAATGTATCTTTTCTTTTATGTATACTGAGAGTATTTACACCAAGACAAATTCCTTGTGTGTTCAATCACACTTGGTCAATAAAGAATTCTATTCCATTCTATTCTACAACTAAAATGGATTGAAATGAACAAACACAAGACAAAAACTTTCCAGTGTGACAAAAGGATGGCGTGAAGCAAATCCCTGAACATTAACCTATATTAACTACAGTTAAGTTCATTTCATTTTATGAAAGTGTACTTTCATTTACACTTTTATCCAAAACTCAACCATTTGGCCTGGGGGGGAGGGGGCAGGAATCCTTAGTTAAAAGAAATTTGCATCTGCTTTAAATTTACTGACCTTAGCAAATCCTTCAGGTTATCAAATAAGTGGGAGGCCTTGGAAATATTATGTTTCTTCAAGATAGACAGGCAGCCTTTAAGTCAATGTTGGCTCTAAGTGTAACTGCCTTAGCAAAATTTTCAAAGTGGTTTACCATAATCTTTTCCCCAGGTCTGAGAGAGGCAAGGTCCCCACAAGCTTAATTCATGCCAAAGGCAGGACTAGAACTCCCACTCTCCTGGTTTCTAGCATGGTGCCTTAGCTACTACACTGAAATGGTTCTTACGCTACATACAGAAATTCTATCCAGGCAAACATTTAGAATACAACAATAAGCACATTTAAATATGTGAAATATATTCATATTAATGTCTCAACACAGAGAGATACATGATCTGAAACAGAATCTTATATAGAATATACTGTATATGTTGCGTTGTTGTGGCCAAGCAATACCAATCACTGGTACTTTCTAATCAGAGAAGTCTAGCAGAATCAAGAATGGGAGGATGCATGACAGAAGAAGAAAAAGAAGACTTAAATATTTTTGCTTCCTACCAACATTGCTATTTAATCAAAAACAGAGTTTCTAACTGCTTCATCAAGGCTAAAGTATATGGAGGTTGGAAGAGCTCAGGTTTTTTAGTGGTTCCCACAATGGGAAAGGTGATAGATCCTGCCAGGCTCAAGTCAATTTGTAAGTCTAGTCAGTTGACAGAAGAAGTGAGACTGAAGTATGTTTTCAGTTCATGAGAATAGCTCACTTGGCCATATCTTTAATAGGCAGGGGTGGGATTCAAATTTTCTAACAAGGTGAGATGGTCCTTATTCTTTGCTCGATTTGATTTCCGGGTGACCTATGTTCCAAGTGGAGGGAATCATTGTGCTGACGCCCTATCTCGGAAGCCCGAGTATACCCGAAGGGAGGATAAAATCTTGCCCTGGACAGTGATTCCGTTGGAGTGGTTTGAGACCACCGAGGAACCTGTGGACCTTCGAGTGAGGATTCAGGAGGCGCAGCGGCAGGACCCATTTGTGACAGCTCAACATCGAAAATTGGATGAGAATTGGATGAGACAAGAGACTCCTTGGGCGTATATTGGGGACCTGTTGTGGTTCCGTGATCGCATTTATGTGCCTGGAGGTCTTCTTTATGGCCTTATCCTACGTCAATGTCATGATAGTCCGGCGGCAGGACCCTTTGGGGTGTTCAAAACACTGTACCTCATCTCTAGGACATTTTGGTGGCCAAGACTTAAACATGATGTATTGGGATATGTGGCATCCTGTGGGATCTGTCGCCAAGCCAAGTATGCTCCTGGTGCACCCCCTGGTCTATTGCAGCCCTTGCCCATGCCAGAACAACCATGGGGGGCAGTTTCATTGGATTTCATCATTGAGTTACCACCATTGAATGGTGCCACAACCATTTTGGTGGTGGTGGATATGTTGACTAAAATGGCCCACTTTATTCCATGAGCGGGTCTTCCATTAGCCAAGATAACGGCTCAACTGTTTTATCTCCCATGTTTTCTGGTTGCATGGGTTACCAGACCACATGGTATCAGATTGTGGGGTACAATTTACGGCACGCTTCTGGCAGACCCTATTCGCGAAACTGCAGATTTAGGCATGTCGTCTGCTCATCACCCCGAAACTGGTGGGGGGACAGAGAGAGTGAATGCTATTTTGGAGCGGTACCTCCGCTGTTTCAGCAATATTCAACAAGACAATTGGGTGGAGGTGCTGCCAGTGGCAGAGTTCGCTTATAACAATGCTCAACATGCATCCACCCATGTGTCCCCTTTCTTTGCTAACTATGGGTTTCATCCATAGTTTCCCTTTAGCCCCGTCTGATTCCCCAGTTCCGGCAGTGGATACGTTTTTGTAGGAGTTAAAAGCCGTGCACCACATGGTCCGCGATCAACTAGAGAAAGCCAAGGAAAACTATAAACGGTTTGCAGACCGACATCGTCACGATGTTCGACCTTTAGCGGTCGGCGATCGGGTTTGGCTCTCTACTCGATATTTACCAGTGACGCGACCATTGAAAAGCTTGATCACCATTACTTGGGACCTTTTCTGGTCGAGGCGGTGATCAATCCTGTGGCTTATCATCTCTCCCTGTCACAGACCATGCATATCCATCCTGTTTTTCATCATTCTCTGTTAGTCCCTGTCTCGCCCAACAGTCCGCATAGACCGACTACATCACAGCCAGCCCCAGTAGCCCCTCTGGGAGAGGAGGAATACGAAGTGGATAGCATCCGAGATTCACGCCAGTTGCGGAGCCTATTTCGGTATTTGGTGGCATGGAAAGGTTATGGACCAGAGGACTTCACCTGGGTCGATGCCACTGATGTTCATGCTCCTTGTTTAGTCTAGGACTTTCCCACTCAGTTCCCTCAATGTCCTTGTCCGCCTGGTCCGGGGGAGGGGGCCCTGCAGAGGGGAATAGTGTCGTGCCCCTGGTGGAGTCTGACTCTGAGGAAGAGGAGGAACAGCCAACAGGGAGTGGGAGTGTGGCTCCAGAGGTGGTGGAGGACGCTGGGGAAGGGCAGAGGCCGGCTGAGCAGTCAGAGGAGGATCCAGGCCCATCCCCTATTCATCCTAGGTCACACATGGAGAAGAGGATCAGGGAAAAGCTAGGTCTACTCAAGAGGAGATTACCATGATCCTCCTCTGGCTTGCAGGTGGGAGCTATGTATATAAGTTTGCAACTGCGCAGTTAGAATTGCTGAAGTCAATTAGTGTTCACCTTGAAAGAGGCTTATCTTTGCTGGTGTTCTTCCCATGGACTTTTCTCGGTTATTTTCCTGGAGTTTATAGTTAGTTCTCTTGGCTTGCTTCAGAACTCTCATCAATGTGGTTTATTTTGATTTTCTGTTTGCCTCATTATTTACTTTTGTGACTTTAAACTGTTCCTAATAAAACAGTGAAGTTAAGTTGAAGGCTTTACCGGACTTTAATATATGTTTTGGTTTTCGGTTATTTTGAGAGACTACGGGTCATCACACCTGGCCTCTTAGAACTGTGGGGATGCTGCAACAATCGTAAGTGTGAAAAATGGTCATAAGTTACTTTTTTCAGTGCCATTGTAACTTTGAATGGTCACTCCATACAAGCAAAGTACCAGCAAAGGAGGGAGGAAAAACTCCAGAGAAGTTCCAGAGACAGGAAGTCTAGTCCTGCCAAGAATGTAATAAGGGTTAACAGAGAGGTAGTTTCTGTAAGCAACACCAGAATGTTTCCTTCCTGACTTCATTACAGGATTAGGCCAGTAATTTCTTCTAACAACCAGTTCTCCAAACTGCTTAGAATATTAACAACCGGTTCTAGAAATAGGTGCGAACTGGTAGAATCCCACCCCTGCTAATAGGCCTAGATTTTTGTAACATTGGCTCAAGATTTTTACCCTCCCTGAAAAAGAGTCGGGATTATATCCATCTTGGCTCTGTAAGTATGCCTCATAGCCAATTGAAAACTGTTTTTCTGTTTGTAAAATATAATGGCAAAATTACTATTTCTTATATCACTCTTATTTTGTCCCATCTTGACAGAAGACTACATAGGCACAATCTACATATTGTTAGCTGTCCATTTGCAAAAATGCCTGTACCGTTTAACCAAAGCAAATATCATTCCTGCAATGTGCCAGTTTTGGTTTCATAGAAAACACTACAGGCATTACAATTGAAAAATATTTGCAGGAGTAAAGGAATACTTTTTTCCAAATTATATTAACATAGCACTCAACTTGAAAAGAAAGGAAGGTTATTAAAAAACAACAACACAAGTATGCAGCCAAGTACTGAAAAAATCCAGAGCTTCAAAAACATTACCCACTTATCACAAAAGCAGGAGGATCTGTAGTTTACCTGTAACTATGCCATAGTTTGGGGGTTCAATAACGGCACCATAAAACTGAATGATATTTCTGTGGCTCAACACGCTGAGTATTTCTGCCTGTTCAAAATGCAACAAAAACACCAGATGTGAATACAAAATGACATAATTCTATAATTAACACAAAACCTCTGAATCATTATCTGTATCAATAGTTGTGCTCAAGGTAGCTAGCAAGAACAGAAATTCAGAAATCACCATTAAACCTACAGATTATACAGACTAACATTTGTCTAATTAAAGCAATTAAAGCATCTTTAAAAACAAATATACAAAAAAAGAACTGATGGCTTAGAAACAAATGTTAAGACAGGGAAACAAATAACATCTAACAATTCATCAAAACTCACCTTGACAGACAAACCGGTTTAGAGCTTCCTTATCAAAACCCTGCTAAAATAAACATGTTTATATTCGCTGATACAATGATAATTATTATTATTTAGAAAGTACACAACATTCCTTGGCACTTTGAAAAAGCAGCCACTAAAAAGTTGTTTCCAGTAGTGGTAGGATCACTGCTGAAAGAGCCATTCATGAAGATCTAAAAGTTTGGAAAGATGAATAGAATAGAATAGAATAGAATAGAATAGAATAGAATAGAATAGAATAGAAT